CATTGATGGCTTAATAGCTTTTTCTTCCTGGGTAGACTCATTACGGATGAGAGTGATTATTTTGAAATCCATTTCATTCTAAGCAAATGTCTCTACCCCGGAAGAATAAAACAGAGCCACTGCTGGCTAGCTCCTGAGAAACTGGTGCCATTTTATTCAGTGTTCTTCCTTATTACTCCCAGTTGTTTAAATGAATACCTATAATGGCCCCATCCCCCTTGTGGTCCCATATAAAAGTGAACTCGCTCAAGGGAAAAAAAAAAAAAAAAGATATTCTAATGAAAGTATAACCTTACATAAGTCTTTCTAGGTCAACAATAATGCCTTTCTTTTCCAATTTTATTCCAGTTCACAGCAGAGTTAAGGTCCAGCTCCATCCCGGAATGACACATTTTCCTCTCGGTGGTCTTCCTGCTGTTTCATGCTGAGCATCATTCCTGGAGGGATGTCTCCCGTGGGAGCACCTCTCAGTCCACAAACACCCTAACGAGTACTCCAGCCTGTCCTGATCTACCTTCTCATGGCACGTGAAGTGAAATTATCTGTAAAATAAGCAGAGAGAAGGAATTGAGAGCTGGGAAAGTTTTACTAAATGGAAACATTAAAATATAATAATTAACATAATGCTTGGACCTTTGAGTTCTCTTATTTTCCCTAGTTTCACTTTTTCCTGACTATCTAAGAATCAAAGCTTCTTTATTTCACTAAGATTGGCTTAAGAGCTTAAATTCTCCTTTCTGCTAGTTATCTAGGGAACCCAAGAAATAGCTAATTGAAAGATTTCACATTCTTTGTTATTCTTTTTTTTCCAACTGGTTGCATCATTTTACCCTTGTTCAAGGACTAGCCTCTGAGAGCACAAAGTCAGATGCGACAGTGTGTTGTGTAGCACAACCAGACAAAGGCAGTATTCCATATGGGTTTGGGTGAAGGAAGAGGCAGAAGTCATTATTTACCTGGCCTTCATAGTCTGAGGCAGGAATTTTGAATATAGTTCTCAAGTGTGTCAACTTTGACAAGATACCTAGCTGTAAAAATATCTGGAAAATTAAAAAAAAAATAAGTCGCAGCAACTTCCTACTCGATGTGTCTCTAGAGGCAAAGGAAACAAAAGCAAAATTGAACTATTGGGACCTCATCAAGACGAAAAGCTTTTACACAAAAAAGGGAACAGTCAGCAAAACTAAAAATCAACCAATGGAAGGGGGGAAGGTATTTGTAAATGACATATCAGATAAAGGGTTAGTATCTAAAATGTATAAAGAAGTTATCAACACCCCAAAACAAATAATCCAGGGAAGAAATGGGCAGAAGACATGACTAGACACTTTTCCAAAGAAGACATCCAGATGGCTAACAGACACATGAAAAAATTCTCGCCTCTCATCATCAGGGAAATAGAAATCAAAACCACAATGAGATATCACCTCACACCAGTCAGAATGGCTAAAATTAATAACTCAGGAAACAACAGATGTTGGTGAGGATGTGGAGAAAGAGGAACACTTTTGCACTGCTGGTGGGAATGCAAACTGATGAGACACTCTGGAAAATAGTATGGAATTTCCAGAAAAAAATTAAAACTAGAACTACCCTATGACCCAGCAATTGCACTACTAAGCATTTATCCAAGGGACACAGGTATGCTGTTTCAAAGGGGCATGTGCCTCCCAATGTTTACAGCAGCACTATCTACAATAACCAAAGAATGGAAAGAGCCCAAATGTCCATTGATGGATGAATGCACAAAGAAGATGTGGTATGTATATGCGATGGAATATTACTCAGTGATCAAAAAGAATGACATCTTGCCATTTGCAACTACATGGATGGAACTGGAGGGCGTTATGCTAAGTGAAATAAGTCAGTCAGAGAAAAACAAACATCATATGACTTCACTCACATGTGGAATTTAAGATACAAAACAGATGAACATAGGGGAAAGGCAGGAAAAATAACAAACTGAGGGTTGATGGAAGGGTGTTGGGTAGAGGGATGGGCTAGATGACCAAGGGGCATTACACTTGTCGGGATGAGTACTGAGTGTTCCACGTAAGTGATGAATCATTAAATTCTATTCCTGAAATCATTCTTACACTATATGTTACCTAACACTATATGTTAAATTGGATTTAAATTTAAAAACATAATAAGAATAAGTAAAAAATTCAAAAAATAAAAAACAAATAAAGATACCTGAAGATATTCATTATTGTAACCCTTCAGGAAGATAGCAACAAGTTTTATTGGGAATCACTCAGCCTGCCCTAAAGAGGAAGATCAACAGGTTGGTGACCATGCAGCTGATTACAAATAGCATATTCAAAATAATAGAAGTGGTCCCAACACATATTTTAAATTCTCTTTTGCTAGGAATTAGCAAGCACCTGAACCATGGCACCAAATGAAGCATTTCTTCTCCCTCCTCAAAATACCTTCTTGTACTTTGAAAATTGTGCTGATTGCCCTGTGAGGCCCCATCCCAAGATGGCCACTGTCCTCTACGGGTCCTAAGTGCATAAATTATCACTCTTACATGTATTTGAAGGAGATGTGGTTTCAACCAGAAGCTCTACTAAACTCTGGACCTTCCATCAGTTACCTGTTTCCCAGGTTATTGATGTCACTCTACAGCTGTCCACACCTGAGTCGTCCATAAGACGGTCACCCAGATTTTCAGAATTTGCCTGATTCTTCTTTTTTGGGTTATCACCTCCGTGGGTAACTGAGGGAATTGGTAAAGGAGGCAGGGGTCTATTTACTCAGTCCTTTCGAGTCACTTTGATAAAATACGAGATTGCGAAATGTGAATTCTGCGATCTTCCTCCCCCTTTCCTCACAACCATCATGCCCTAAAAATGCTGCTACACTTTAACACATTAATTCCATTTTTGTGAATGTACCCTAGAGAAATAATTTAAAATATGCAAAAGCCTTTATGCCCAAAGACACTAGTAAAAATTCATTGTAATAGAAAAAAATAGAAATATTCTAAATAGCCAACAATAAAAGAATGATGAAATAAACTATGAGGTATCCGTTACAAATTTGTTTGCAAAAGTTGAAAACAACATGTAGGTGTGTATTATAACATCTGACATAACATAAGAAAGTTTAAAATCTGGGTGTGCATACTGTATTAACTTCCCATTGCCGCTGCAAAAAGTTACCATGAATTTAACGGCTTAGACAATATGAGTGGATTATCTCAGTCGGAGAGGTCGAATGCCTGAGATGCATCTCAGTGGCCTCCACTCAAGACATCTGCAGGACTGCATTCCTCTGGGGTGTTCCAGGGGAGGATCCATTCCCTGCTTTTTCCAGCTTCTAGAGGCCATCTGCAGGCCTTGACACAGGGTCCTCTTCTCCAGTAAGCTATTTTTCTGGCCTTCTTTTCTGCCCCCTTCTTCTACTTTTAAGGACCCGCATTGGGCACACCTAAATAATCTAGGAGAGTCTACCTTCTTTAAGGTCTGCTGATTGGCAACTCAATTACATCTGTGGTTTTAATTCCCCTTTGTCATGTAATTTCACATATTAGAAGTAAGATGTGGATACGTTTGGGCTGGGTCTGGGCAGGGATCTTATTCGTTCCTACACACACTGTGCAAGAGAAACAAACCAGACAACCAAACAAAACTAAAAACAAAGACGAACAATGACACAACTAAGCGTAGAAACTCCAGATGAGAATATACCAAAATGTTTGCATTGCTCGGTGCGGTGTGGGTTATTGTTTTAGTCTCCTTGCTTTTCTATGATTTCCAGTTTTTCCTGTGATTTATTATTTTCTAAATATGAATAAAATTCTTATTTTGATCATGGGAAAAATAAGTCTCATCAAAAAAAAAAATTTTTTTTTAAGCCCTGCGGCTATAGCGGCCTGGAATTTTACTCTTTTATCTTTTCACATGAATTTTCTGACTTGCAAATCAACTAGTTAAAGGGAATGAAAGAATGGTAAGTGCAAATAGTTATTGATCAGTACAATTCACCCTGAAAATATATAGTAACACCAACCCCATCGACTTAGAGAGGTCAGAATTGCCCGTCGACTTGTGGTTATGTCTTATCTCTACAATTAAAAACCAAACAATTTAAGAGCAAGTATCAATCACATTTTTTATTGTCAAACTGCTAAAGAGACTGTTTAAAAGAGGGTATAATCTGATCCTCATACAAATAAAAAATAAACCCGTCAAAGATTTTAACTCGATAATTAATGAGGGGACCAGTAAGATGTTACAACCTGTCCAGAGGAGAATTTAAAGGACCATACATATATGTAATCAGATAAGGAATTCTGAAATAAATTCACAACGGGATGCCAAACAGGTATATTCACAGGGTTATAATCAATTCCTTTCCACCAGACATGGACAAGACCAGTATTACATTATTATTTACATTATTATCAATTCTCTAACAACTTAGAGAGTTGCAAAAATAGCCAAAAGACAATGAAAATCAGAGATAACCCAGAAGGTCATGCTAGACAAGACATTCAAAATTCCTGGGTTTTTTTTTTTTTTCTTTTCCTTTTTCCTTTCTGTTTCTGGCCCATTTCAGTATTCTTCCTCAATTTTTTCTGACAATACAATACCTCACATCGTACCTTGTATGTAGTGGGCACTTGCTATAAATTTGGGTTTTGAATGTTTGATTGAAAGTTCAATTCTGGGGCGCCTGGGTGGCGCAGTCGGTTAAGCGCCCGACTTCAGCCAGGTCACGATCTCGCGGTCCGTGAGTTCGAGCCCCGCGTCGGGCTCTGGGCTGATGGCTCGGAGCCTGGAGCCTGTTTCCGATTCTGTGTCTCCCTCTCTCTCTGCCCCTCCCCCGTTCATGCTCTGTCTCTCTCTGTCCTAAAAATAAATAAACGTTGAAAAAAAAAAATAAATAAATAAATAAAAGCATTTGTTAAAAAAAAAAAAAAAAAGAACAATTCTGCACTTGTTGTCCTAACTGTACTTGGAATGCCAATCATCCTATTCTTTTTTTTCTTTGTCTGGGGCCCCTAGATCATTGCTCTTCTTGCCTAGCTATGCTTAACTTATAAGAAGAAAAACGTTTCTGCCCTCAGGGTTTAGCTGGACCTATTAGGGCAATATCGCAGAAGGAGAACGAGCACCTGATATTGAGTCTTACCATTAGTTTTGTACAATTATGACAAGAAGTGATCTCAGGCCTTGTTAGGACTGGAAGCGATATACTCTCTCCCCTATCTTGAGCAGGAACTTATGTGGCCCTGAAAAAAAAAAACACTCCAGAGATGGCCAGGTGGCAGTCAGCATTCTGGTCTGGGTTGTGTATCTAGAAGATCACAGCAAGATTTCCCTCCAGTCTTCCAAAGCTAAAATAAGCTATGTGTTTCTCAACAAGCGTTAAAGTTTTCTTGAAAAGGCTTCGTTTTTAAAGAATCCCTTCCCATAACGTCGGCAAAAAGCCATAAACATAGATGGACTTTTCCTTCAGGAACTAGAGAAACCAAGCGGCTTCAGAACATGGTCTAAGTCCATGACGTTCACCAGATGGGTAAAGAGGCAGAAATTAAGCACAATTAGAATTCCAACTGAAGTCATCAAAATCGGAAGGCTGAAAAGAAATTTTAAAAAATCTATGAAAGATTCCAGCTACTCACACCAACAACTTCAAAAATAATAACAATTGTATTTTAAAAGGCGATGTATTTTAAAAGGGTGATGTATAGAGAGATATCAATGAAATCTTATACCCAGTATCAGTCCTCTAGTACCCTTGGATGCACGGAAAACCAGATCAAACCAAACAAGGTGAGATACCCTACATCTTTCCAATTAAAACCCTGAACAATTTAGGGGCACCTGGGTGGCTCAGTCGGTTAAGCTTCCAACTCTTGATTTCAGCTCAGGTCATGATCTCAGGGTTCGAGATCCCAGGGAGAAAGCCCTGGGTTGGGCTCTGGGGTGACAGTGTAGTGCGTAGCCTAATTAAGTTTCTCTCTCTCCCTGTCTCTCTGCCCCTCCCTCACTCATGCATTCTCTCTCTCTCTCTCTCTCTCTCTCAAAATAAACTTAAAAAAAAATAAAACCCTGAACAGTTTAAAGTACAGAAAGATCTATCCACATTCAAAACAAAACAAAACTCTTCCATAATCATTTATAATTGCCCCTCAATCAAACCAATCTGTGATTTGAAAGAATACATACAAGGAAGAAACAAGTTTGGCATGGCACCAACAATCGGCCAACACCTTGGCATCCGTTCGTATAGAATCCGCCACTAACGGTCATAGTAATTCTTCTCATTACGGTGTTTGCATGCACATAAATCAGATTCAGGTGAATTTACAACGTGCCATGAACTGTCAGACTTAGAGCAGCCAGCAGATTGTCTTAAGTGATACAGGATTCATGCCTTTGAGCAGCACATCGCTCTCAGAGCTATTGGACTACATTCCAGATGTACCTTCCTCAGTATTTTTCCATTTCCATAAACTGATGAGTTTATGTGTGACATTTTAAACTTTGATTTTTTTGCTGTTGCCTGATTTTCATTCTAAGGGAATGTTGAAACTTAGATCGGGGGAGGAAACCACATGCAGTCTTTTTAAATGAGATCTGATTTTTTTTTTTTTTAAGACCAAAGCACCCTTGGTGCAGAGGCAGCATGTGGCCATGTTCCCTTAGAGTGTCGCCCATTTAACACTTCAAGCTGCCGTCTCTGCAGGCATTTGAGCTTTTTCTCTTCCTCCTGAGCTTACAATTTCCAGGTGCACTTCAAACAGACTGAGAAAGATAGCCCCTTGACTGCATGCATTTCAAGCCTATCTTTCCAATAGGATCTAAGCAGCTGCCACATTAAACAGGAAACCCATGGGTCAAAATCCAAACTGAGAGGGAAGAGGTAACAAGCAGACCTGAGCCAGAGGTAATTTATGATTAAGTTAATGAAATTCTAATTAGCCTTATAAAGCCCCGAAGTGTTTCCTGCAATGGCTTGTCATGAAGCCTTTATTCAAGGAAAGCCAGAGTGCGTTAGATGTGGGTCATGTAGCATATCGTCACATAGATTCATTGTTTATATTCTCTCTTTAACACCCAAGCAAACTCTTAAAGGCAGAAAGGTAATATGAAGCACTGAAGGGGAAAAAAAAAAAAAAAGCAGCAATCTGTTCAGACCCAATGTGACCCTTGCTCGGGGGACATCTGGGTAATTGTTCAATTTCTCCTGATTTACAAAACAGATTGTTATCAGCTTAAATAATGTTTAATAAATTCACCAAAGAGCACTTCTGGCCTGCTGTCCAGGTCCTTTTAAGAGTGGAATTGTCATTAGAATTAAGAACATCTCAGAATCAAAAATAGAATGTTATTAACAGTAAGAACCCTTACTTAATTAAGCATGTCTACTCACAGGCATTGAGCAGTGCCCTCTGCAGAGCAGAGGGAGGGATGAAGATCTTCTAGCAAGTTGCCTGTGTGGGAGTGAGTCCCCGTTAATCAGGCGTGCCCAGATCAGGCCTGCGCCAGCGATGGGAGGCGTTGCAGTGTTAATGGAGGGAGCCTGCGCAATCTAGTCTGAAGTGTTATAGCTGGGAAATATATCTCAAGAGAGAGAGGAACAGAGAGTAACTGTGCTTATTTAAAAAAGAAGACAAGAGTCAAAGATAAGCCCATGTTCAGCCTCACTTTCACACTTTTAGATTTAATTAGCTTATTAGGATAAAATCATATTCAAAAGGCAACAGCTGAAAAAATCGTTGGAGGCCAACATTCAGAATCCTAGCTCTCCAACTTGGACCTTCCTTGATCTGATTTACTGGCGTCCCATTACTTTGATAATTATCCAAACAGTTTATGCAGGGCCTGTGCAGGTAGGCTGATATGCCGGCCTGCAAAAACTGACCCTTGAGATCTTGGGTTTCGTGTCCTTTGCCACTCTGGCCTACATCCAACTGCTTTCCTTTGATTCTGTCATTGCAGAAGATTTCCAGGGTCATCGATTCCCTCCTATTTCTCGGCTCTAGTGCAGTGGTTGCAACATGAGTTTGTTGCAAGAAAAACAACTTCCTCTGTCCAAGTTTCTTCTAGATGGACTAAGAATTTAATTTACATGAGACAGATTAACCAGAGAACATCAAACTTAGTTTCATATGTCCAGGGAATCCACACGGACATGAAATTCCAAAGACAGGCAAAATGAGGTGTATATATGCCATCCAGAGCTAAGGAGCAGGGTAGGAGTCCGGGATACAAAAGGCAAGAAGGTCATTAGCAAGCAGGTGAGGAGAGATGTTTGGAAAACCAAGGCGCCCTGCTGTGCAGATCAGTTTCTCAGGTAAAAGGTAATCTCTGAATAGCTGTCTTCCTGGTACACTTCTTCTTCTAATCTTTTTAGGCAGTTAGGAGAGGAAGGTCAAAGTTTCTTCCTGAGTCTTTTGGTCCTTGATTGGTTTCAGCTCAAAATAATCTACATGCCTTTGAGACCGTGCATGTTGGGGTGGTCTGCCCTTGGCCCCCAGAAATTAAACTTGAAAAAAACCTTTCATAATGATACCTAATAATATTTATCTTTCATGCAGCACTACATAAAACATAATTACTTCTAATAAATTATTTCATTTAATTCTTTTAGGTATCCTTTGAGGAAAGTATCGTTTGTACCTCCATTTTCCAGACGGGAACACTGAAGCATAGAGACTAATAATTTTTCAGGGCTATGTAGTGGGACCAACATTTAAACAAAGGTATTTTGTTTTTAACGTCTTCACTGATGCCCCATAACTCACTATGCTATGTCTGCCTCTCCATTTTCTATGAATTTGAGATGCTCATTTAACTGTTGAATAATAAATAATTTTTACACATCCTGCCCTGGAAATATTACTATCGCCCAGGATCCCCAAGTGCTTAATGTATTTCTAACAAGAACAATGACAAATGATGACAATGCAGACTTGCATAGAAAGGACAAATTGTTCTAAGTTGCAGGATGCGTTCATCAACCAGCATGATTAAACTGTCCCCACTTAAAATAATTCAAGTTTTCATTCCTTCATACTCATGCCCACTGTCCCCAACTGTAACCAACATCTGAAAGAGCACCTCCAGTTTAACAAACTCAGGGTTTCCCTGGAAGAAAACTTCCCATGAAAATACATTACAGGAAGTCAAAGAAAACACACGCTATTTTTTAGGACCATGACTGGTCTTTTTCAAATCATGGGGGCATGTGTTCATCTGTTCTATCAAGTGTCCTGAAAAATAGATGGTAAGGTATTAGTAAAAAAAATGTGTGTGTGTGTGTGTGTGTGTGTGTGTGTGTGTGTGTGTGCTATGCACACACATATGGGTAAGAGTACTACTTCAACTGTGATTGATAAATTAAAATCATTGTTAATCACTTAAATCTAAATTGCATTGGAGCTGTCAGAATAAATACCCTGGATTGAGGCTAAGAAATCTAGAGCATGTTTAAATTGGGATTTTATTTTTGTTATTTGGGCTTTGAGTTCTTTTGTAGAGCGGAGAGGATCACTCTCCACGAATGTCACTAGCGAAAAACAAAAGGCAAAGTGAAAACCAAGAAATAGATTATCCCTAGACAATATGTTACATCCCAACTCCACCATTTCCTGGACAATTCCCTGAGGCGTGATTAGCCTCGTTTCACAGACGAAGGGATTCAGACTTGGACAGGTTAAGCAATTTCCCAAGGATACTCAGACAGAAGGAAATGAGTAAGGATTTCAACCACACCGTTCTTGCTTCCTCTTCTGTACCTGCTAGCACTTTTCCCCAGAAAGATCATGATGCCTTCTCCCCATCTCTCCCTTTGCCTGATTAATTCTTACTGGTCCTTCAGGACTCATCTTAGATGTTACTTTCTATAGGAAGCCTTCCCTGGAACCCGTGTCTGGATTGAGCACCTCTTGTGTGTGTTCCCATAATACTCTAGGCACAGCATCCCCATCACCTCATCTGCATGGTATAATGTAGCTGCCTATTTTCTTACGGGACTTTCCCCTTCCATTCCCAACCACTGACTAAAGGTACCTTAATTACTACGGACTATGGTTTATTCAGTGTTCCATCCTCTGGGTTTAGCACAATGTCTAGCACACCACAGGCACCCCGGTGTTTACTTCAGAATAAAAACATCCGTGGTCAGGGGCACCTTGCTTGGCTGAGTCAGTCAAGCGTGCAGCTTCTGCTGAGGTCATTATCTTGCAGTTTGTGAGTTCCAGCCCCCCATCAGGCTCTGCACTGACATCTCGGAGCCTGCTTAGAACTCTCTTTCTCTTCTCTCTTTCTGCCCTTCCCCCATTTGCTCTCCCTAAATAAATACATAAAATTAAAAAAAAATCAATAGTTAAATGAATGGATGTAGACTCCCAAGCCACATACCTTGCTGCCACGGGTTAAGCGGCTTCTCAGCCAGCAACGCGCTGCCTCGCAGATCAAGCGTGTGGCAGCACTGATCACAGGGCCCGAGGGGAAATCGGCACTCAGTAAGCATTCTCAATAGTTAAATCCAGGTAGAGCACCCAAGGGCCTAAGCCAATTATATCAGAGAAGGGCATGAGCTTTCTCATATTTCAAATCAATTAAGAC